AATCTGGTTGTTTAGCATAAATCAGATTTATGTCGAAGTAGTACCGCGTAGGTTTAACTGACTATTCAGTGTTTATTTTTCATTGAAATGAATAGCTTGGCGAGGTGCGAGTGGATAGCCGTAGGTGTGTGCAGTTTACCAAGATGGCGATGCAGACAGGGGTTTTTTGCGCAGTTATTCACTATTGAACTTTGGAACTTGACAATCTTGAGGTATGTAACAGCTCCCCGCTATGACCAGTACGCAACTTTTTTAAAGTGCCCAAGAGACCAGAGGCAGCAGGTTAGGGCAGATAGGCCGTACGCAAATTCATCCTCAGTTGACGTAGTCGTGGACGTTTTTTTAATCAAATGATGTCAATTTTACTTCAATTTCTGTTCCCGTATGTAGCATTTGCTTAATTTACGCATGGCAATGAAACTTGCAGTAAACCGCTCCATTAACATCAGTTACTAGGGTTAATAAAATGCCAGTCGGCATATAAACCCCGATCACAACAGTAAGCTCTTTCCTGTTCTACGTCCATGTTATATCTAAATGGGTGTGATTCCGTGGACCTTTCCATCTATTGCTTTGTTTGGTCGAAAATTACGTCTTCTTGAAATGTTACAATTAAACAAAGGGTATATTTTGGTTTTGAAAAAAAAAGCGTTCAAATTATGGGGTTTTCATTCATAATATAACGTATCCGTCATTTTATTAATGCTGCCTATAATGTATACAGGCTTGTCCACATCCACTGCAAACTTTTATGAGAACAATGCAACCCCTTCCTCAAACCATGGGCAATAGCGTACTTTTCCTATAACAGGATGCTATACCGGATGCTATAACAGGATGTACAGAGCGCGCAGTTTGATAACCTTGAATTCAGGTCTAGCAGTCGGTAGGTTTCAAAGTTATTCAGCAGTTTAAAAACTTTTTAAAACCAAATCATACTCTTTATTTAAGTAGAAAATTTAAAGAAGGCATAAATTGCTACCAAACGAAAACATGAAAATATATGAAAATAGTGTTGCATTGGGTGGATTTCAAAGGAGTTTCGGAGATTATATGGACGGATTCCAGACGCTCAGATGATCGCCATCGCCAGTGCCATGCCAATGGTCCGTCATAGACCGCTGTGCTCTTGCACCGTTTACATTCAGATCGTCGTTGGCGATATTTCTAGGTTCGCTGTGGTACATCGCAAAGTCCCATTCAAGTCCAGTTACTATAAATTTACCCCTGGTTTAACCGACAAAAGGCAACTTGAAATTTTCGTCCCGCTTTTACTTATTTGCACTTTATTTTTTCTAAGTTCAGTTGTTGGTGACTCGACCTTTTTATAAATGCATGTCTGCCAACGCGCTTAGTATCCGGAATAATTAAAGTGTGAGGCTGGCAAACTTTAAATTTCTAGTCGTAAATCTGAAGAACTATACTGGCTGCTGTTAATCTGAAGGATAATAAGTAATACATCCCTCCTAATAGAAGACTCTTTATTTTGAGACATTCAACATCCGTTTCAAGCTTGCCTGATTCGTCTTTTTATCAGCTATTCTTTGGTGTCACGTGCACCCGTGTTTACAAATAATGTTGCGTTAGGTACGTTTCAGTTTGGTGCCAAATATAATGTGAATGGATACCGGTGATCACCATCGTCATTTCCATGACATTCA